AGAAGAGGAGAAATATCAGGTAAATCCTCAGGATCTGGGACTCTGTGACAAGTGGGATTAGAGGCTGGGACTGCAGCACTGGCAGAAGAAACCCACGAGTCAACTGAATTAAAATAAATATCCTGGACGAGGTGCTGTAAAGGAAAGGAGATTTCCATGGGGGAAATGACAACCTTTAGCAGTCCCATGGATAAATCTGGAGTGGAAGGATGGACAACACTGCTTGAAAAAGCCTGCAGTGCTTCCTCACTGCTTGGAATACAAAGGAAGATCCCTTTGGATCCCACCATCCATCCAAAAAATGGGAAGTGAAGTGTCTAAAAAAAAGGGCTCCTCAGCAAGGCACAGTTTGAGGAGCAGGGAAATACCTCTAAGAGCCTGACTGGGAGCTGGAAGAGCCCCTGTCCAGCGTCCTGGAAAAGTCACGGCTGGAAGAGCTGGATGCTCTGGCTTGGAAAGAGGGCACGACACAGGCCATTAAAACTCCTGCATGGTGGTGAGGTGGTGAGCAGGGAACGATTAATCAACATTTCTTCATCATGCAAGGAAGAAATAACACCCAGGGAAATTCCCAGGCAGCAAATTCCAAGGCAGCAAGAGAAGGATTTACTGCCCAGCTCCGTTGGTGTGCAGGGGATGTGCTGCTGGAGGGGAGGCTTCCACAGCCACCCAGTCCTCATGTGGGTAAGGAAGAGACAAATATCATCCAAAAGGCAGCAGAACCCAGCCCTTGTGCCACCAAATTCCTCCAGACCCTTATTTTAAGCCGAGTTTATCCATCACAAAGCCAGGGAGCCCTGGTGCCTGCTCCGTGTGTGGCTCTGAGCACCCAACACTGCGTTACTGCTGTGGGGGTGTTTTCCCACTGTTCATGACCTCTGGGGATGAAGCAGGAGAGATCCATCCTGGAATCACACTGTGCAACCTCTAGGCTGACCTACACCCCACCAGCCTCTCTGCTTCCCTCAGCTCCTCCCTCAAAATATTGGCAAATCCAATCCCACTGTTGGCACCGATCCCGTCCGGTCCCTCTGCAGCTCCTTCTTGCAGGGTCTTCTCCACCTGTTTAATCACTCCAGGTGTGGGCTGGGAACTCTGCAAAACCCACAGGGTTTTGCCTCAAATCAAGGTTCCCCCCCACCCCATCCCTGAATTTGGTACAGGAACATCCCCCTCCACCCAGCAGTGGTGCCAGCAGGGAAGGTTTGTCCGGGGGGGCTTTTCGGAGCAGTCCCAGGTGGAAGGTGCCAAATTTGCCTTCCTTCGGAGCTGCTTATGGCTGCTGGTGGTTTCACTGTCATCTTAAGGTTTGCAGCATCCTCTTTGCCACGGATGTTCAAGCACCAACCCCCCCAGTTCACCACCAGTGTCAACTGAAACCTGCAGCTGGAGCCACCACAACCTCCGGGGAGGAGCTGAGGGACAAAACAAGGTCACAGCACAAGAAAGCAGCACCAACAGCTCCTAAAACCCCTGAAATCTGTCCCTGCCACCCACCCTGGCCAGGAGCTTGCTGTGGTCCCATCCTGCATGGCCATATTGAGATAATTTGGGAATACCTGAGCTGAAGATGGTTTTGCTCGACATGGGTTGTCCTTCCCCAGCAGAGCTCACGGCAAACCTCGAGGGCAGAGAGAGAGGAAACCACACAAACCCTTTCCACCCTCAATGCTGCTTTACTAGGAACTCCTTTGAGCCTTTCAGAATCCTTGGGGCTGGCAGTCATGGAATCCTGAAATGGTTTGGGTGGGAAGGGACTTTAAAACTCATCTCATTCCACCCCCTGCCATGGGCAGGGACACCTTCCACTATCCCAGGTTGCTCCAAACCCCATCCAACCTGGCCTTGGACACTTCCAGGTATCCAGAGGCAGCCACAGCTTCTCTGGGCACCAGAGAAGAGCAAACTTGCACATTTTTAAGGCAACCAATTATGTAAAACAAAAGCTTTGACGCTGTTCGGCCAAGTTTGCTTTGGGGTGAAGCTCAGACACAGTTGGAAGCCAAAGAACGGGGTTTTCAAACGAGCTTCAAACTTCATTTTGCAGGATTTCCATCTGTGATTGGAGCACATGGGTCATATCCCCAGTGGGCACCTCCACTTGCTTTTGCTTTGCCAGAGCAACATCAGTGACATTCCTTTTTGTGACACATCATCAAAATTTAAGGGTTTGCCTGGAGCTTCTTCAGCCCATGCAGAGTGCACAGATCTCCAGATGGCTGCTTGGGATGCTGGAAATGTGCAGATTTTACCCCCAGATTTCACTTGTCTAACACAGTAAATTCTACTCCTAGGAAGGGCATTAAATTTCAGGGTATTTCAGCCTGGAAAATGAGTTTATCCAGGGGATGCACCTCAAACCTCATCCTCCTGCCATCCCTCCCATCCCCAACATCTTCCCTTCACCCCCACTTCAGTCTCAAACCCACCGTGTTTCAGCCATTTTATTGAAGTTTGCATATGAAATAACAGTTTCAAGTTCCAATGAGAGAAAAAAAAAAACAACCAAACAAAACACCAAGAAAAACATTTAAAAAATAAGTGCAACATCAGGTAAAAAAAAAAAACCAATCACACAACCAAAAAAAAAAATAAAAATCACTTTTTTTTTTTTTTTTTTTTACTGGTAAATGAACACAAGGCCCACACCACGGTGGAGTCACCAGGACAAGAGGAGGCAGCAGCTTGGTTTAGCATCAGACTGGTATCAAAACCAACCCAGAGTTTTAAACAATTGGAACACAGCCCACTGGCAAAACCAGAGTTTAAAATGAACTCAGAGTATCAAGACTGTGTTTAACACCCCCAATCCCGAACTGAATTGTTCCTGTGGCACCAGCTTGGTCGGGATTTAGGGAGGAGTTGAGTTTTTCAGTCCCAGACACCGAATTTCACAATATTTCACTGCAAATGCACCCAGTGCATGTCCCAGTTGAGACAGGCGTGGAGAGCATCCCAGTTGCATGTGGGGAGGAGGGGAAAGCAAAGTCAAAATTATATCCAGCCGTCTCCATCCCAGGAAGATTCCATGAAAACAGGATGGGGAAATTAAGAAACATGAGCTGCTGCCACGCTGGAAGTCAATCCAACCTTTTGCCACATTTTGGGGTCTCAGGTGATGAATTAAGGGCCTGTTCTCTTGAAAAGTTCTAAATTCCACCATGAGAATGCACCAGAGAGGGGGATTTTCCTGCAAAACCTGAGCAGTTTGGAAAACAAAGCCCAATTCCAGCCCATCAACAGCAGCCTAAGGGACGTGGTAGCAAACCCTAAAACTGAACCATTTCAGGCATTTCCTGACTCCATTTCCCCCTCATACCACTTGACTCACAGTTCCAGCTCTGTCAGTGACCTGTGCATCTCCAGGTAAATTGTCCTGCTCCGAAATCACCCTCTGGAATAGGAATGATGGACTTAAAAACCAGCACGGGTGCCTGGCCTTGCAATGGTCAGAGCTGACGTGTTATGGGCAACACCAGGCAGTGTCAGAGGTATCTGAGGCCATCCCCTTTAAAACCTGATGATGTAATCTTGGACAAAGCAGAAAAAAGGGGAAAAAAAGCCCTGCAATGTACCTGTATGAGGGGCTGGTGGCTGAAAATCCTGGGATTAGAAATGTGTGATTTAATTCAACCTGGGCTGCTGCAGGGCTTTAACCTCACGTTGAGGGATGAACCTGTGCAATGAAAGGAAAAGCAGGAGAGGGAGGAGCACTCTATTATCTCAGAAATTCCATTAATTTTAAAAGGATTCAGTAGCAATAGCAGCATTTGAACACCTGTCTTAGAAAAACAGCCAAGTGTGTGTGGGAATGAAGCTTCCAGCGTGGTCTAGGGATGTTTTCTGAGATGTCAGCCCTGTGGGGGGGTTTGCCAGGACCTGTGGAAAGAGGCTGGAGTCTGGGATGGGACTGCAGGAGTCATAACTTAATAGAATCCCAGACTAGTTTTGTGTTGGAAGGGACCTTAAATCCACCTCATTCCACCTCCTGCCATGGGCAGGGACATTCTCCACTATCCCAGGTTGCTCCAAGATCCATCCAGCCTGGCCTTGAACACTCCCAGGGATGGGGCAGCCACAGATTCTCTGAACAACCTGTGCCAGGGCCTCCCCATATCCCCACTTTCCCCCCCCAGATCTTTGGAGGCAAAGCAGCCTCTCAGTTATTTCCTCCTTGCCTCTGACAGCCTGTTCGTGCTGTGTCCCCAGAGCCTTCCTTAGTCCCTTCCTTAAACACCCTTTCAGATCTCTCCCTTTCTAATTTTGCTGCCTTCTTAAAACAGCTTAGAACAAGGCATTAAAAACCAAGGCATTAAAACCCAAGCCTCTTGCCGTGACCCTCCAGCAGCCCCAACTCGCCCAGCTCGGCTTTTCCTGCCCCTCCAGCAGCAGGGATGGAGCCAAGAACAGAGCTCTGACTGCACCCCGGAATTAAACGGGGGAAAGGGTTTGGTGCTCAGCCTTTTGGGGCACAGAGGAGGAACATCTCTCTGTTCAGAGCCTAAAGAGCACGTCCAAGGCACGACAGCTCCCCGAGCTGCTCTCCCAGCAGTCTGGGAGCGGGGCTTTGAAGGGCTATGAATAAAGATGAGCTGCCTGCCTTCGGATGATTATGGGAATCAAAGCACGCTATTTTTTTTGGATCTCCTCTTGATGTCAGCCATCATTAAATCGCTCCCTTTTTTTTTTGTGTGCGTGTGTGTGTTTTTTTAATCGGCTGGATACATTTTTAATTTGCCTTTTCTCCCCCCTCTCCTTCCCTCCCTCCCTTCCCTGCCCAATCCAGCCCCTCCAGCTCCCGGTGACGCTTCCAGGCGGCTGCCCCTGCTACGATGGTTATCTTTGGAGTCAGAGTGGTGGCAACATCAGCACACTGGACCGACAGCTAGAGGCTACCAAACCCCCAATAACTGTGACAGAAAAGCACATTGACAACCAGCTGGCTCGAGAGAAAGGAACCCGACGGGACGGAGCGACGCCAACACCCGTAACGCACGACACGGAGGAAAGGTGGGGATTTTGGCAGGATTGTCGTCGGTGTGGAGGCGCCTGGGAGGCGGTTGGGACCCACCAACCTCTTCCATCGTCAAAACACATTTTTTTTGAGCCATAATGGAGATACTTAAACAAGTGGCTGCTGAAAACGGACGAGGTATAATCATGTTACAGACACACACACACACAACCCCACACCCCACACCCCATAAAAAAGCTCAAAAATAAAAAATAACTTTAGTACCGATACATTCTATCCCCCATTTTAAGGGCTACTAGATCATGTTCCAAAAGAAACTAAATATAACACCTTCGGGACCAGGGCTTCCCAAGATCCAGGTCTGTGCTGCAGTCCAGAAGATCGATTCTCCCCCTGTTAATGCGTCATTATCTCTGTGGGCAAAGCCCCCCTTTATGGGGGCTTTGGCTGTTTGCAGCCCAAACCCATCAGCGTGGTAGAAAAGTGGTTTTTGGATGGGTCTCTGGCGATTTCAGAGCTGCAGCAGCTTTTGTTCAGCCTCCTTTGCAGGTCAGGATCTCACTACGAACCCATCACACTGCAGGGAGGCTGCAAACAAATAGGTTTTGCAGCTCCTTAGGAGTTTTGGAGGTGACATGTCCCCAAAAAGCCCAGCTCCCCCAGCAGCTCCCTCTGTGGCAACTGGGAAGAGAGATCTGTGGTTATTTGGGGTTCCCAGTGATGGAAACAGGCTCAGCTCTCACCCTCCTCAAACACTGGTCTTTTTTAAGGTTTTTTGTTAAGATCTCAGGGTTTTTATGATCTGAACATGAAATAATTTCGGTGCTGGAGGGATGCAGGAAGCTGGGTGGACGTGGCTTCTCTCTGCAGTGACAGGGAGGGATGCTTGGGAGAGGGGATTGGAAAGCTTTGCAATCTACCCACAGACCCTCCCAGATCCAGGGGGAACTGCCAGCAGAGAAACTCGCTGGAGGATCCCATGGAGAAGCTCCCTCTCCCCATCACCCCTCAGGGAAGGGCAGGGCCAAACTGGAGTTAATGAGAGCCACTGCTCTAATCAGCTCTAATTTGTGCAGGCAGATTAATTTCACACCGTGGGTTGTGTCACCTCTGGGATTCTCCAGCGTCCCTGTCAGAGCTTGTCACCCCCAGCTCATCTCCCTGGGCTCAAGAACCTCCTCCATGGGCTCTTCCAGGATTCCTGCTCCCCAGCCCAGCTCAGGGACCTGCTCCATGGGCTCTGTAAGAGCATTCCTGCTCCCCACCCCACCCTGTGCTGCTAAACCCACCATAAATCCCAGTGCCAGCAGCACCAGCCCCTTCTCATCCATGTAGGGTTTGTATCCTGCTGGGAAGAGCAAGAGGATCAACTGAAGAGCTGGGTCCATATTTGCATCTTCATTCTCCAACTCATTGAATTGACTAAAGCTGCTGGTTTTGTCACTTTTCCTTTCTTTTTCTTGCCATTTCAGCCCATTCTGCCCACCCTGCACCTACACAAAGCCCCAGAGATTCCTGGTTTGGGGGCTTCTCCCATAAACAAGGTCTCCACCACCACTGATGCTGTGACAGGAGGATGAATTCGAGCCAAGACATCTGTGTTTGGAAAAACAACCAAAAGAAATGCAGCCTCACCGAGGTTGGTGAGTTCCTTTCAAGAACTACATCATTTCTCCACCTTAGGCCAGTTTCTCAACCTGAATTTCAGCTGCAGTTTGCCAGTGAGGCTCAGGCAGCCAAAAAGGAAGGTGACTTCTTCTGCTGAGGATCAGACAAGTCCAGAGCAATCCCAGCCTGAACCTGCTTGGATCCTGTTCCTCTTCAAAGCTCTTCTGCAAGGACAGCAGGTTGCTTTGCCATGAATATTCCCAAGTTTTCCCACTTCAGAGCCTTTCTTCCAGCCAGGGTGTTTGTTTTTCCAGTGCATCCCCACTGGGGTTGTGCCTCACATCATTCCACAGATGCCTCCTGTGGATGTTCCTCATTCCCCCAGCCCAGAATTTGGTGTGAAGTGCAGGTAAATAGCTCTGCTGGGGGCAGGATTCAGGTTTTGGAGCTGCCTCCAGGCAGAGTGGTCCTTGTTGAACCTTCCAGGTGCCTGGCAGAAACCTCAAGGCGTGTCCTTGGACACATCAGCACGAACTCAAGAGTCTGCTCCATCATTTTGTCTCCTGTTACCTCCCCTCGAGCATCCTCTTCTCCAGAGGAAGCTCCAACTCCCTTGGTTCCATCCAGTCCAAATTAACATCCCCCTAAAACCATTCCCAAGGAATTATTGCACTGCAGACACAGAGGTTCCTGAGGTTCATCTGAGTCCCACCAACATTATTTTCACCCTTAAATCCAACCCTGCTGCAAGTGTTTCCTTGCTTCTCTGACTGATTTTAGTCTCCAGGATGGAAGAGGCAGCATCAGGAGGTGGGATGAAGCTGGAGAGGGAGAGGGGGAGCCAGGAGCAGGAGGGACATCAACTGCTTGCATTTACCCCTTGGTGGATGATTTATCCCTTTGCAGATGATTTATCCCTTTGAAGATGATGTATCCCTTGGCAGGCCACTTGTCCTACTGCACCTGGAGAAAGCCCAGGTTTAACAGCTTCCCAGCCCAGCAGGGGCAAACCCACAGCTCTTCAACGTGCCACCCAAAACCTTGGCGTGCAAAATGAAACAGCAACGGGCACAGGAGCCCTGGACTCCCCAAAATGAGGGAGTACTCAAATATTCCCTGTGGAAGAGCAGAAAAGGGCACCCAGGCTCTCATGGAACAAAGCATGAGCGTGATCAGCCAAGGATTCAGGGTTTTTATACCTTTTCCACCCCTAGAAATTTGATTTTCCCTTCGTTTTTCACGGAGTGATCCTGAAAACAAGGCACAACTTGTCGGCTGTTGGACACCGCTTCCCTCAGCGTCGCTGGAGAAGTTACTTTCTTAAGGAGGACTTGAAGTGAAATCACAGCCTTTGGTACAGCACAGAACTAATCCTAAAGGGCATTAACAGGAAAGTGGGAAAACTGGAACAGAAATTATTCAGGAAGAGCTGAGCACAGCCCATGGCCTTCACGAGGGAACAGTGAGAGCAACTGCATTCCCTCTCTCCCTCCCACCCCGAGCCAAACACTTGGAGTGAGCTTTAGCAGCTCTGCTTAACGTTTCCTTTCTGGTTGCTTAATCTTTCAAGAGAAATTTCTTTTTAAAAAAATAATAAAACCAGACTGAAATAATGTCCAAATTTCCACCTCCCCTCCTCCAGTTTTCCCTGGCTTTGCTCAGTCTGGTGACATTGCACATGAGTTGGAGATGATCTTCTGGCTGCAGAGATGTTTCCTTCTACACAAAGCACTTGTTGGAAAACACGGATAACATGGCAAATGTTCCATCTGCGTTCATGTGTTCCTGGAATATGAACTGGGTTTCACTGGGGAGGACAGTCGGGTCCACAGCAGCATCAGTCACCGTGTCCAGGACGTTGGACTTTTCCTTGGAGATGTTTAATTCCTCAACACAGTCCTGAAGGTCTTAATTTTGAAACTTCTTCTCTTATCTGTTGGGCAGAGCAAAAAAAAAACCACCATTTTTGTAAGCTGGAAAACAAGCAACAGGTTATTTTATTTATTTTTTTTTTTTCAAAGTAAAGTGGAAGAGATATCACCCATTGGCCCCCTCAGGCAAACTCACATCTCCATTTCCCACGAATGGCAAGAGAAAATTTGCTAATTAAAATCCTTTAATGGACTGAATGCCACACAGCCTAAAGTGAGCTAAAGATAGAAAAGAAGATTCACTAAATAGATCCCGGTTATTAACTATTATCTGGCACTAATGGCAAGCTCCAAATCCAGAATAATTAGCACAAAGTGGGTTTTCCTCATCGTGTTTTTATCTTAATCAAGCTGGGCCTGTTCCAGCTCGATCACACGATATTGTGCAACTGGTTGATCTTATAAATTATAAATCCAATATCGGGGCTGATCCCACTCCCAGTGCCTTGGACTGGGGAGTTGCTCCCCCAGAGCTCAAAGTCAAACCCCCATTTTGAAGCAGGGATGGAACAAAGGGCCAGAAAATTGTCCCAATCTCTGCAGTGCCAGAGCCACGAGCTCTTGGACCCAGCTGGAATCGCAGCAGTAACTCAACAGCACCAAGGGACTCATCCTGGCTCCCATTTTAATCCAGGGAGATGCTTTTCTCTGCCTTTAAGACACTGGAATTCCTACAAATTTCACGCAGCCGTTTCTGTTCCTCTCATTTTACGGAAAATCCCCGCTCTGCCTTCTGAGCAATCGGAGCATCCCCCTCATCCCACCTGGTTACTGAGCCAGGCTCTTCATTCCCAGCCAGTGACCAGGAAAGGGTTGGAAGGGGCTTTAGTCCCAGCTCAGAGCCCAGCCTAAGGCACTGGGACCTGCCTGCTCCCAGCTCAGTCCCCAGGTCAGCCCCTTCTCCACGAAGGGAGAGGGAGGATGGAGATGGGCATGGTGGGAGGGAAACACCTGCTCTAGGTGCTGCAGGGGGGATGATTCGGGGATGGTGATGTTGCAGGGATGATGGGGATGCAGGGATGATGCTGCAGGGATGAGGATGTTGCAGGGATGATGAAGTTTCAGGGATGAAGTCGCAGGGATGACGGGGATGCAGGGCTGAAGATGTAGGGATGATGTTACAGGGATGATGCTACAGGGATGATGAGGATGAAGGGATGATGAAGATGTAGGGATGATGAGGATGCAGGGATGAAGTCACAGGGATGACGGGGATGAAGGGATGAAGATGTAGGGATGATGAGGATGCAGGGATGATGAAGATGCAGGGATGATGAAGATGCAGGGATGAAGTCACAGGGATGACGGGGATGAAGGGATGAAGATGTAGGGATGATGTTACAGGGATGATGCTGCAGGGATGATGAGGATGAAGGGATGATGAAGATGTAGGGATGAAGTCACAGGGATGATGGGCATGAAGGGATGATGAGAATGCAGGGATGATGAAGAGGCAGGGATGATGAGGATGCAGGGATGATGAGTATGCAGGGATGATGAAGAGGTAGGGATGATGAAGATGCAGGGATGATGAAGATGCAGGGATGATGAAGATGCAGGGATGATGAGGATGCAGGGATGAAGTCACAGGGATGATGGTGATGAAGGGATGAAGATGCAGGGATGATGTTACAGGGATGATGCTGCAGGGATGATGAGGATGAAGGGATGATGAGGATGCAGGGATGAAGTCACAGGGATGATGAGGATGCAGGGATGAAGTCACAGGGACGATGGGGATGCAGGGATGAAGATGTGGGGATGATGTTACAGGGATGATGCTGCAGGGATGATGAGGATGCAGCTGCAGGGATGAAATTGGGGGGAGGAGGATGTTGCAGGGATGATGCTACAGGGGTGATGAGGATGCAGGGATGATGAAAATGAGTTTGCAGGGATGATGAGGATGCAGAGATGATGGGGATACAGCTGCAGGGATGATGGGGATGTAGGGATGGCCATGCTGCAGGGATGATGATACCACAGGGACGCTAAAAGCCAGCAGAGAAAGGAAAGAGGCAGTGCAGCACTCAGGGAAATGAGTTCCAGAGGGGCTCAGTGCTCCTTACAAGGGGCTCAGACCAGCCAGTTGTTCAAGCACCAGCTTATCCTGAAGTGCCAGAAGGGACTATTCATGGACTTTAGGCTAACTGGGGTTTATGTTTTATTAGACTGGGCTTGCTGGGGGGATTCCACCTCCTCCCACCTGCCAGCAGGGAAGGGCTCCTGTCTTTTCAGCAGAGCAGTGATCAAACTGCTGGATCTTCAAGCAGCACTGGAGTGTTACACAATTTACCCAGTAAATAAATGCACCAATAAAACCCAAATAGCACCTTCAGCCTGGGAAGTGTCACTGGTTTGGCCAAGCAGGGGAAGGCAGAGCTGGAGCTCTGCAGATTAAGTGGTAAATAATGATTATACCCCCACCAGACAAATAATCCAGTGCTTTGGGGGTGCTCTGGTGCCTTTCCAAGTGTATCCTTGCTCGTTGTAGGAAGAAATCCCAAATCCTCAGCCTGACAATGATGTTATTTCACTGAATCTGGTAAGAAGAGCAGTAGGGGTGAGAAGTCATGAGCATCTGTGGAGATATCACTGCTCCAGCTCCTGAAGGGATCCAGATGTCTTTCCATCAGACAGGGGTGATGAAATCCTCTCCACTTCCAAGACAAACAGAGGATGTTAAACAGCAGCCACAAAAATTAGATGTTTTTAAGTAGTCCAAGCCAAACAACTTGTATCTGTGCACTCAGAGCTGCTGAAGCAGTTCCTGAGAGTGTAAGTACAGAGCAGCTCCTGAGTCCTCCCAGAGGACTGGAAAATAGCTCCTGTTTGGGCCAGTTTTCTAAGGGATAAACAAAGTGACCTGCACAAACAATGGGTCGGGCCATCTGCCACTGATCCCAAACAACGTGCTGGGACTGCTGAGTTTTACCACAGAATTAAAGAGAAGGATATAATTGATGCCGATCAACACGAGGTTAGGGAACCAGATCTTATCACAGGCTTGTTTCTGATGCTGCAGGAAGATTCCCTACTTTATTTCAGAGGGATTTGAGGTGCAGAATATTCAGGAGGTAGCACCCACTGGTGCACTCACAGAGGTAGGAAACCCCTCAAACCTGCAATGCTGCACCCAACTCACACTAAACTCCTTCCACATCCTTCTCTGCTCCAAGCAGAGACCAGCAAGGAGGGAGAGGAGGGTTCTCAACTCCAAATGCACAGAGAATTCAGGAGAAATGGACAATCAGGGTGGAAGGGGAGAGGGGCAGTGAAGAAATCACAGGAGAGGAGGATGGTGGTGGAAAGGAGAACTGAAGGCAGAGCTGGCACCTTGGGAAGCTGAGTGAAACTTTGGACTTCCCTCCAACCAGGAGTAAACAACTGTGATTATTGGGGTACCCAGGGAGGGTCTGCAGGCTCTGCCAGCCTCAAGAAAGCTGAATTCCATAAAACCTTTGGAGGAGTCTTTATTTGTGCTTTGAAACTGCCTCCTCCTCCCAGAGCGGGTTTCACTGCAAAACCTTCCTGAGGCTGCTCAGTGTCATTTACAGATGGAGAAACTGAGGCACAGAGCACCCAACCCACCCAAAGCCAGACAGGAAACACCACAGTGCTCCTGCCCTCCAGCTCTGGGTGCAGGGACACATTTCCAGGGCCTAACAACCCAAATTTCCACCCCCCCCCTCCAGAGAGGCACAGCATCACCCATCACCCCCATTGCACTCAGCTCCTTCCTTGCACCAACCCCAAAACTCATCTCTCTGCAAAGGCAAAAGACACCTTGCAAAGTGTGTGTTTATCTCATCCAACCTCCATCCCGACCTGCAGCTTCCCATGAGGGCAAGACCCCAAGACAGAACCTGCTTCCCCCACCACAGCTGAGCCTTCAGGGCTTCCCCCACCCGCCAGACCGGGACAAAACCCCGAAGGATTTGCCATCTCCATCCATGACAGTGCTTTGGAGGGAGCAAAGCAAAGTGTCTGGTGCTGATCAGCAGCAAAATAAACTGGATTTCCTCCTGCAGCCTTGCTGGGGAGAGAGGAGATGGCCACAGGCTCGTCTTGCCACGCATCCAAACCCAGCCTGCCCCCGTGTTAGAGATGCTAAAAACGAAGTGCAACCACCGTAGCAAAGCAACAGACGTGCCAGGGCTTAAACACGCTCAGAAAAGCCTCGGAATCACAAGTCTTGAGGAAGTGAATCATTCCCAAACAAACCCAGCAGCGCCTGCTGCCGTTGGCGGGGCTGAGCCGGGGGCTCGAAATGAGTGTGAAGGAAACGGCTGCTCCCGCTGTGAGTCGGGGAAGAGCAGCGATCAGGGAGCATTTCAGCTCCTCCTGACTCCAGCGAGACGCTGAAGGAGACTGGAGACAGGTTTTAATTTACTTGGGCACGTCCGGGTTCATAAGAGGGAGGGAGAAGTGACGGAGCCCCGCGGGGAGGTTCAGGAGGGAAGGTTTCCCTGCCTGAGCGTCCTCAGCACGGAAAATTCAGGCTGTGAGCAGTGATGAGGCACCGACAGACCCTTGAAACTCGTGGGTGTCAGAGAGCAGCACCTTATTCTGGGAAGGCAAAGCGCAGAGGGGCTCGCAGGGGCTTGATTTTGTGGCTGCTTATTTGCCAGCAACGGGGATAAAAAGCTTCCAGCTGCAAGGGCAGTGGGACCCTGCACACACCCCTTTTCAGGGCAACCACCCCACACGGGGGATGGTTCTCATGAGCAAAAATTGGGATTTGTGGGTGACAGAGAGCAGGAGCCCTGCTGCCTTCCCAGGCAGAGCAGCCAACACACGTCCCGTCAGGTGGGATGAATATCCCTTTGACAGAGACGTCATTACTCATTTTCCTGTTTAGGCAGCCAAGTATGGGAGTAAAAGGTCTCAGCTGCATCTCAGGCCCAACCACAGAGGATCTGGGAGAGCTTTGGGAGGAGCAAGAGCCAGGAGGGACTGGGGAGATGGGGCTGGGGCTGCTCAGCAGGGACCCCCTGGTCGGGAATGAGTCCCCTCCATGGGATGGTTCTGCCTTACACGAGGGCTGGACCCCCCCCTCCTCATGCCAGTCTCATTTCTGACCTAAGAACCCCCCCAGTCACCACCCCCAAAACTGAAGTCAAGCCACTCCCCCTTCACCACTGCCACAGGAGTGATTCCCAGCTGGGATGAGGCACCTCGGGGCTCCTGCCCCAAAATATCCTCACCAAAGCCGTGATGAGCACATTCCCAGGACTGTTTCCAAAGAAAAGAAGCACATCACCCCATCATTCCGTGGTCAATGCCCAACTCCCACCTCTGGCTCAATGCCCAGCTACCACCCTGAACCCACTGGGATAACCCAGGCCTCTGCCATGCCAACAGCACCCAGAAAACCAGGAAAAGGTGGGAATATCCTGTTTTTAACACATCCTCCAGCTCTGCAACACCCTCAGAGTCAAGCCTAGCACCCTGTTCAGACCATGGGTGGCACCCAGAGCAGGAGAGCAGTGAAGGAGACAATTCATGGGATATTGCCCTGCCCACAGCACCCTGTAATTATAGAATCATGGAATGTTTTGGGTCGGAAAGGGCCTTAAAGATCATCTATGACAAAGATAATATAACATCCAGACATCCCCTATTTCCCTGTGCCCACCAGACTGCCCTTGCACGAGGCTGCTGGTGCTCTGAGCTCTCCTTCCCAGTACAGACAGCAAACTGAAGGGCAAAATAAAGTTACTTTCGAATCCTTTCTGCCCGTGTGCTCTCCTGGGTTTGCAGCCCACCCGGAGATCACTTGTTAAAGCGTTTAAAAACGGGGAAAACAAAGCCCTGCTTTCCACCGGGCTGCGCTGGAGCCGCCGTGCGCTCGCACCGGGATATGCATATTTTAAAAGCTTGGCAGGAGAGGGCTCCAAACTACACAATTAAACGGATTTTACACAGAAACGGCTCTCCCGTACACACCAGCCGCTGCAAGAGACCCTTTCCCCGCGTTATCCCTGCGGGAGAGACCCCTCCGGAGCGGATGACCCTGGATGGCTCCTTCCCCTCTGCCGGGGAAAGCACTTCCCTGCCCTTCGCCTTGCTTAATTGCCCATGAAGTGGGGGATTAAAAACAAAAACCGACCTCTTTTGTCGAGGGATGGAGCAGGGACAATTGCCTGGGAGGAAATTTAACCCTCCCGGAGGAAAGAGATACCTCCAGCCCTTGTCGGCGTCCACCGCGCAGTGGGACAGATCCTGCTCTGCTCCTCGGCCGCAGCCCAGCACCCAAAGGGCATCTGTTGTGCTGCAGAACAACAGAACCTTTTTGGAAGAGTTCAGGCCTGAACACACACAGAAAAAAAATAAAAAAAAAATAAAAGGAGGGCCAAGGAACAGGAGGAAAAGGTGGCACAGTCAAAGTGCCCAGCGGAGGGGCTGGGGTTGGGGTTGCTGCCCCACCCCCCGTGCCAAAGCTGTGTTTTGAGGTGGCATCAAGGGCTGAAATCGGGGAGTGAAATCCAGTCAAAAGGAAAGGGAAAGGAGCCTGTGAAAAGAGGAAGCAAGCTGGACAAGCCTCTAGAGCCCCCAGTGCCTCTATGAAATGAGATGATCTTTAAGGTCCTTTCCAACCCACACCATTCCATGATGCCGTGATAAACTGAAAGCATCCACGGAGACAGCTCCAGCCTCCCAGGGCTGCATCCCTCGCTCCCATCCTGCAGTGCCAGCAGCGTAATTCGTCTCTCAGGTGACTGGTGGGAAGAGCGGGGGAGGAGGAGGGCATTTCTGAGAGCATCCCCGGGGCCAAGACGGGGATTACCAGCGCTCCAGGGTGTCCCTGCTTCCCCGTGCTCACTGTCTGGGCGCTGGGAAACGTCAGCCAGGAGTCGTGGTAATGCCCTTTCCTCCATTTAATGCAATCAGCCGAGGCTGGAGGAGCCCTTTGCCTCGCAGACAGCAGGCAGCAGCTCTGCTAACACTAATCCCCTAATGCTGCCCCTCTAAGCACATTAGGAACAGTTGAGTCCAACACGCTGTGAAGGCTGAGGCTCGTCTTGAACTCCCCAGGGACTGCAAAACACTCCCTGGTCCCCCTGACGGGAGGCTCGTGGCAAGAGAGCAGAGCCAGTTTAACAACAGCTGGTGTGGAAAGGGCAGTTTTCCAGCGAGCTCTCCAAGCCCTCACACAGACACGGGCAGCAGCCAGTCCAGAGACACCACCACACCAAGGAACAGAAAGCATCTGCAGCAGAATCGCAGAATGGTTTGGGTTGGAAGGGATTTTACAGACCCTACAGTTCCACCCCCCCTGCCACGGGCAGGGACATCTTCCACTCTTCCAGGTGGCTCAGGTTGCTCAGTTTATCTCATCGAACCTACAAGACAGCAGAGAGGGAAGGATGCTGAGAGGAAAAGGGCAGACCATCAAAAGGACACCCTCAGTTCTCCACTTACAGATTTTTTTGGGTGTATCTGAAGAGCAGCAGTGATTTTATATTTTTCAGTGATACCACTGAGTACTGAAAAGTACTTTTTTCAAACTGAAAGAGGGGACATTTAGGCTGGATGTCATGAAAGGAATTCTTCCCTGGGAGGGTGGGGAGGCCCTGGCACAGGTTGCCCAGAGAAGCTGTGGCTGCCCCATCCCTGGAAGTGTCCAAGGGCAGGTTGGATGGGGCTTGGAGCAACCTGGGCTAGTGGAAGGTGTCCCTGCCCATGGCAGGGGGTGGGACTGGATCTCTAAGGTCCCTTCCAACCCAAACCACTCGATGATTCTACTGCAGAAAAGCTGCCTTTTACTCCCATGGATGAAGTGGTTTCCTTGCCACCTCTCCCATACAGCATCATCTACCATCCATCAAACCCATTTGAAACTCTTCTGCCCCTACAAAATCAGGCAGGGAGGAGTCAGGAAAAAAAAAAATCAACAACCTGCAAGGTTTGTGCTTATTTTAGATGGCAGAGAAACCGAAAATTGTTGTGTGCCTTTTCCAGGAGCACATGTGGTTTTTCTGTATCCTGAGCAGCTGCCACGGGGAAAACAGAGACAAAAAAATTCATCTGCAGACTCTCCAAATGAGATGATTCCACTCCTTTTAAACTCAAACCCTCCTTTTAGGAATAGGCGTTGTGGGAAAGCTTTAATACCAATAAAATTTAGTGGCAATAAAAGTTAATCACAATAAAAAGGGAGAACTCATAGGCAGAAATTATATTTCAGCCCACTGGCAGCCTGGGAAAAAGGCAAGTTGGGGTGTTCCCAGTTATCCTAGACAAGGAATTGCAGTTATCCTGGATAAGGGATCTCAGGTTTGTAACTTCCTGTGGTGCTCCAGAGCATCTTCCTCATAAAGATCATTTATCTGACCCTCAGCTGATGAAAACTGAAGAAGCTCCAATAAAACCATCACACACCAGGAGCCAAGGAGCTGCTGTGATGTTTTACTTGGGGCTCAGGGAGGGTGTTACAAACTCCTTTAAAGTCGGGATAAAGTCCCAGCTAAACTCTGATTTTGGCATGGCTGGCACCTCTCAGGACAAACCCCCTCTCCACACCCTTGGGAAAGGTGTGGCTTCCAACAGGTTGGGGCCAAATCTCCTCTGTTCTGAACACCTGTTCCATGTGCTACCCCAAAGGAATTTGGCTTTATTTAGCCCAAAATTCAGCAAAACTGAGGAGAGTCAGAGCCTCGTGGTCCTCAAGGCTGAGGAGCCTGGAGCTGGAAGCATTAAACCACTGAAAGCTGCTTTTTTTTTTAGCACAGAATTGAAGAAATCCAGCTGCAGAGAAGGAGCAGAGATCCCCTCCTACCACAGCACTAAAAAGTAAAGTGAACAGCAAATATAACAAGAGGAGCTACAGGAAGTGATCCCACTTTACCTAACACGTACAAAAACACCCAAGAGCAGCAGGACAGGCTGGAAAACAAAAAAGTAAGCAGTGGAAAGCACGGGGTTTGTCCCCTCCCAAGAAAAAGCAACATTCCTTTATGACTGGGTTAAACTGCAAAGCTCACCTGATCCCTTCAGATGTTCCATGGCCCCTGGTGCACACGTGAAGATGAAGGCAGTAAATTTTCCCCCCCGGTTGGGGTTTCTGGTTGTTTGTTTGGTTGGTTGGTTGGTTTTTCCAGTCCTGCTCTTTCCTGTCCCCCTTCTCTCCCAAAGACTGCCGAGGTTTCCCAGCCGAGCTTTCCGGCTCGGGGCCATTTCCCACCGGGTTTGGAGCCGTTCTTGGCGGAGCAGGATGAACCTCCAATCCCCAAATTTCCCTCCCAGAGGAGCTCCTCAGCAAGGGACGGGTGGGTTTGGAGGTGTTTATTGCCTGTGGGGGGTTTTATTGGGCACGGAGTGTGGGGGACGAGGCCCGGGAATGGGGGGTGTGAATGCCACGATGTCCTGCGGGATGGCAGGGCTGGAACCATCTGGAAAAAAAGGCGTTTTTGCGGGAAGAGCAAGGACCGAGGTGTGGGGGGGGATGGGAACAGGGATGCCATGACAACCTTTTGGGGTTTCCCAGGAAACCAGGGTCGCCATGGCAACTGCATCACTCCTGGTCGGAATCAGTGACTTCCGCTGGAAGGCGTGTTCGCCGCTTTAATCTTCTCGGGATCAGCGGTCGCTTCTCTCCCGAAAGCATTGCAGGAAAAAAAAAAAAAAAAAATAAAAGGCAGAAACGTCCCTTTGTCTCTGGCTGGGTGGGTTTGGAGGCTGCCCAGAGATGATCCTGCATCCCCTGGTCCACGCCAGCATCGCTCCCAGCTCCTGGAACTATTGCATTGCGCCCTTCCCTTCCTCTCCTCCCTCCGCACAGATCAAACTGGAGGGAATAATTCCATCAGGTTACAGGGGAAGGGAACTAAGAACAAAAAAACAAGGGTTCTGGGCTGGATTTTTGGTGCTTTTTTCCTATTTAAATCAGCATTGATTGCACTTTTAGTCTCCGACCAGATTAGAATTTCATAAACAATCTAATGGGGGGAGAAAAAAAACCCCGGAATCTGTGACGTGCCCGTGATGGCACATCACAGGATTCAATACAAAGCCTTGTTTAACGATGTGGTAACAGAGACTTTCTGCAAAATTAAACGGTTATTTCCTCCCAACCCCCTCCCGGTACTCTCCGGTACTCTCGGCTACGTTTTCCTCATTCCCTCACCCAATGCGGGGTTGTTAATCCAACAAGTGAGCTGATGTGATGGAAGGGAAATCGGCTGCACGCTGCCTTCAGGGAAAGGAGGGGGAAATTCAGGAGCAAAGCGAGAGGATCCCCAAAACCCCACAAAGCAAAGCTGCCCTGCAACACGTTGCAGAACAAACAGCTGTTTCGACAGTGAGTGTGGTTTGTCTTCATCTTCCTTGTCTTTTTACCCTTTCTTCTCCGGAGAATTTTAAATCCTTTTAGTGTTGGATCTTTAGAAAGGAAGGATCTAAAAAAATAAACGTATCAAAACGAGGGCACACACAGACTGACGATGGTGCATGTTCCACACAACACCGACACACAGTCACTTTGCATTATTATTGTTATCATCATTATTGGTGTCATTTTACCTCATCCTCAGGTTTTTGTCGCTGTTTGTTTGCTTTGGAATTTTGTTTGTTTGTTTGTTTTTGTTTTAAACATCCGTAAAGATCTTTTTGATGTTCACACAGTTGGGATTGTTTGTGGTTGTGCAGTTGCCTGCTTTGAAGGCAGCCTGTTTGAATGCACTGTGGTTGATCCCCCCTTCCTCGATGACCATGTACTCGGACTTGCTGAGGGTGGAATTGCTGCGAGCCTTCTTCATCTCCTCGCTGGACGAGAGGTGCTGGCAGCTCCCGACGTGCATGTACTGGGCTTGCTCCTCACCTTCCGTCTCCCGGTGGTAGAAATAATTGAAATTGGAGACTATCACGGGCACGGGGAGGGCGATGGTCAGCACCCCTGCAATAGCACAGAGAGACCCCACAATCTTGCCCCCGATGGTGATGGGGTGCATGTCCCCGTAGCCCACCGTGGTCATGGTCACCACGGCCCACCAGAAGGCGTCGGGGATGCTGCTGAAACCCGAGCTGGGGTCATCTGCTTCCGCAAGTACACGGCGCTGGAGAAGAGGATGACGCCGATGAAGAGGAAGAAGATGAGCAGGCCCAGCTCCCGCATGCTGGCCTTGAGGGTCTGGCCCAGGATCTGCAGCCCCTTGGAGTGGCGGGAGAGCTTGAAGATGCGGAAGACCCGCACCAGGCGGATGACTCTGAGGATGGCCAGGGACATGGCTTGCTGGCCGTTGCCTTGCCTCTCGGCCAGCTCGGTGCCCAGCGTGATGAAGTAGGGGATGATGGCCACAATGTCAATGATGTTCATGATGTTCTTGGAGAAGGTGGCCTTGCTGGGGCAGGCAAAGAAACGGACCAGCAGCTCGAAGGAGAACCAGATGATGCACAAAGTCTCCACCACGAAGAAAGGGTCGGTGAAGGACGACACCATGGAAGCAGCCGAGGACGAGGAGTTGGTGAAGGCTTCAGGTGGGAGTGGGCCACCGCCCGTCCCAAAGGTCCCCCCAGTTCCCTCATAGTCGTGGTCATCCCTGAATTCAGGCAGGGTCTCCAGACAGAAGATGACAATAGAGATAAGGATGACCAGGACGGAGACGATGGCAATGCCTCGGGCCGGCCCGGAGCTCTCGGGGTACTCGAAGAGGAGCCACACTTGGCGCTGGAACTCCTTGTCGGGAAGCGGCCGCTGCTCCTCCCGAATGAAACCCTCGTCCTCCCGGAACTTCTCCATGGCCTCCTCCCCCAGCTGGTAGAAGCGGATCTCCTCGGAGAAGATGTCGATGGGGACATTGACGGGCCGCCGGATGCGCCCACCCGACTGGTAATAGTAGAGGATGGCGTCGAAGCTGGGCCGGTTGCGGTCGAAGAAATACTCGTTGCGCAGGGGGTCGAAGTAGCGCATCCTCTTCCTCGGGTCCCCCAGCAGCGTCTCGGGGAACTGTGCCAGCGTCTTCAGCTGGGTCTCAAACCGCAGCCCCGAGATGTTGATCACCACCCGCTCGCAGCACTCGTGCTCCCCGGCGCCCGCGGGCTGCCCGGCGGGCACGGCCGGGGCCGGGGGCTGCTCGTAGCGCTCCCCCGAGAGCAGCGCGGGAGGAGGCTGCGGTTCTTCCAGCAAAGGGTCTCCTCCGCCGCCGCCTCCCACCACGGTCATGCTGCCTTCCTCCCCTCCTTCACCCTCCACCTCCTCCTGCTCGGGGGCGGGCTGGGGGCGGCGGGGGCTCGGCGTAGCCCAGGTTGTGGTGGCTGCTGGTCGAGCCGCCCCGCGGGTGCCGACCGGCGGAGGAGGCGGCGGGAGAGTAGAGCAAGCTCCGGCGCTCGTCCATAAAGGTGTGGGGCGGAAAGGGAAGGGGGAGGGTGGGGAGGGAGGATCGGAGAGGCGGCAGCTGAAGCCTCTTCTTCCTCCTCTTCCTCCTCCTCCGGGCGGAGAGGGAGAAACAGCCGGTCAACTCCTCCGGTGGCTGCCGCTGCTCTGAGGAGCTGAGGCTCTTCTCAAAAAATCCGCCCCCAGCCCTAGCACCGCCTCACTCAGTCACCGCTCCCGGAGACACCCACCAGCCCCCCGGCCCTGCCCCTGCAGCCCCCCGCCAGCTGCGGACACCTCCTCCCCCCGACCCTGCCTGGGGGACCCCCATCCACCCCCCAAACAGCGCCAAGGGGCTTCACAGTATCCTCTGAGAGCATCCTTTGATGCTCAGCGGGTTGCAAGCAGGGAGAGGGGGTTTTGTGTGTTTTGGTGCTTTTTGTTTTTGTTTTTTTTTCTTCTGGCAGAACCGCTGCCTAGAAGGAGTTTTTCTGTCCTTCCCTATGCGAAATGTGATTTTTATTCCGGATTTTGGGGCTTGCCTGTTGATTTTCAGCCGCGGTTTCGCGCGGTGGCGGGGCTGTGGGCAGGGGAAAGCCGACAGCACGGCCAGAGACAACAGTTGGTTTGAATCAGCGTCTGGGTTAGGCTGGGGATTGGTTTTTTTCTGTCTAGGAGAGCCTTGTGCATGTGTATGTGCACACACGTGTGCGTGTGCGTGTTCTCCTCCTCAGAATAAACAGAGAAACAAAGCTGAGCCATCCCTCGACCAGGGAGGTTTCAGGCTGGACCCAAATCTGTCTTTCAGACTTTCCAGCAAGAAAGCCCCAGAACCCTTCAATTTGTTTTTTGTTTGTTTGTTTGTTTTCTTTCTCCCTTCAATTGATCTTCTTATTCAAGGAGTTCAATTCTGGGCAAAAGGGATTTTTTCAGATGAAAAACCTCTTGTGCAGGAACTCAGCGCTGGAAAACACCCTGTCTGCAGTAGATGTAGGTCAGGGACAACCTCTGATCTCTGCACCCCCATCGACCACCCCCTCCAATTTTCACAACTCGCCCCAAAAGCAGAAGCACTTTAATCCCCAGACATGTGACAAAGTGGGGTTTATGCAATTCGGGGAACTCCTGGCTTGGTAAAGAATCATGGATGGAATGGGTTGGGTTGGAAGGGACTTCATATCTCATCTCGTTCCACGCCCCAGCCATGGGCAGGAACACCTTCCACTGGATCAAGAGCTCGACCATGAGGGCTGGGGAGAAGTTAGAAGGGAGACCACTTTCCCTTCCAGGGTCGGATGGGTGGTCCCACCACGATGGAGGTTAAAACCCCTCCACCATCCCCACTTGAGCTCATCTACCTGGTTATTTTTAACCAGCACAGCCTCCAGAAGACGAGGAGAACAAAAGATGAAAGGATTAAACTTATTTATACTCTGAATCAGAAACAAGCTGTACAAAATACACAGATTTGGGAGGGGGAGGAACGACAATAACTATCGGTGTAAGAGCTGAGCCCGAGCTCCAAATGGCAGATGAACAGCATGGATGGAGTCTGAGTGAGCTGAGCCCACCTTCTTCTTTGCTGACAGAGGGGAAAACACCCTCTGCCACCTGAAATCAAGGAGGATTCCCATGGGAATGAGCCCCAGCGAGGTGTGGATGAAAATGTGGACACTGAATCACAACCCCATGCAAGGACACTCATCTATCTCTAGGTCATGTCTATTTTCATGAACATGAAAGAACCATCATCCCCTCACCACAGTCGTGTGCAGCAGTCAAAAACTTGTCTGGCTCATCCCTTTTCCCTGCTAGGATTTCTGCCAATAAATCAGTGTCGTCTGGTCTAAGGCAAACAAACAAGGCTGCTCCCAACCATAAACATTTATTGAGGGCACCAGGCTGGAGGCAACAAGGTGTAACTTCCATAATTGCCATAATTTACTCTGGATCTGTCAGGGGCGAACTCATCAGGGATTCATGACGGAGCCACAGACCTTCGGGATGCTGCTGGGAAAAAGATTTCCCTTGAAACCAGAAGGATTAAGCCCTTACCCCCCACACAGACATTAACCCTTGAACTCCTGCAGCTTTGGTGGCTGCCTCAAAGGATTTCTCCCGGGGCTGGTGGCCCCAGGCCCTGGTGTGGCCTCCTGGCCCTGTTTACTCCTCGGCTGCTTCCCTGTAATCCTATCAAAGCCAATTAAGCTGTGCCAGGCAGCAACGTAGCTGCAGGCAGAGGGCAGCCAGAGGGACAGATCACCTCCTCTCCAGCCACATCCCCTCAGCTCCTGCCTTCTCCTGGGGTCTCCAGCCCGGGTTTGGATCAGCATCAGGGATGCAGCAACAGCATCACCTCCTCCATGAGCCCCCACCAGGGAGGAATTCGCATCCAGGAACTGCAGCAAGCCCAAAATTTGTCAGGCAGCAACAGAGGTGGTCTAGGTCAAGTCCCAGCTCCTGGATTTCTGAACACAGGGGCAGGAGAAGGGTCATGTCTGTGGTGTCCAACCCAGACAGAGCTCAGAGCTCAGGGCAGCATCAAACCTGCTCCTCACAGCTCTGGTTTGCTGTATAATGCGAGATGTCTCAGACCTCCCTCTGCAAATTTCCCTCTGCTTTTTCATCCATCTCCTCTGCTGCATCTGGTCTCCACAAATTTGATTTTGTTCCTAACGTCCATTTAAGAAATCCCCCTGAGCACTGCCCTACAGGCTGCCCTGGAACTGCAGATGCAGCTTCTGTGAAGAAGCAGAGCAACCATGTCTTTTCTCCTCCCTTCTCAGGGCAGATTTTCAAGCAGAGGGGACACACAGCTTCCCTCTTCCCACAGCCAGACCCAAACCATGAGGGGAATCCACTCAGCATCACCCCCCAGGCTGCACAAAACATCTCAGGATGTTCACCACGACCCTCAGTTGTTCCCAGCCAGGGGGCTGCCCTAACATCCTTCTTTCAGCTTGAAATGTTCCTTCCTTCTTGGTGAATCCAAACACCTCCCAGGCAGCTTTTTGGGCTTGTTCTTCACCCACCCAACGCGCCCTTGTGCCCTGTTAGCACCCAGCAGCTGGGCAGAGCGTGGCAGCCCAGCTGTGGCAACGAGCAGGGTCTCACCCACCCTCCCCTCCCCTCCCTCCCATTTCAGTGGGAACTCTGCTCCCATTGACAAATCTGGGACAAATCTGCTGGCCTTTAATTCGGAGGATCAGAAACCTCTCAGCCCAAAGGTGGTTACAATAATACCTTAATGCACTGCAAATGTATTGCCTCTCCTCCCACAGCAAAGCTTCGTCGGGGCAGGGCAGCATTAACTCCCTGGCAAGGTTCCCATCTCATCTGAGAAACACGAGCCCAACCTGTGCTGCTCATAACACGGATCAGGTTACAGATGAGGGCTCAAGGTTGTCCCTCGGGTCAGTAATCACGCCCTGAACCCTTTGCAGGTGGGGCTGCAGACACTTTTGGCACCAGGCAGTTACAGCATCAACCCGACCTCTCAGCCTTAACTGGGATCAGTCGTGGAATCAAAGAATCGTGGACTTGCTCAGGTTGGAAAAGCCAGCTGTTCACCTGGCACTGCTGCCAAGGCCACCACTGGCCCATGTCCCCAAGTGCCACGTTGTGATGGTATTAAAACTATTACACACATCAAGATGGCTTTTAGATCCCTCCAGGGATGGTGACTCCCCCACCCCCCTGAGCAGCCTGTGCCAAGGCCTGACCATCCTCTTGGTAAAGAAATTTTCCCTCCTGGCCAAACTGAACCTCCCCTGGCACAGCTTGAGGCTGTTTCCTCTTGTCCTATCACCCAACAGTCAGGGAATAAGTTGAACAACAGACCTTCTGGCTCCAGACTGGCCAGTCCTGCCACCCTCACCTCCTGCCTCACAGAGGAGGAGCATCAGGAGGTGGGAGCATCCCCACAGTGCCTGAGGCTCACACCCTTCCAGAAGAACCGTGGTGTACCCCAAGGTGGGGGTCACTGACCCCATTTCCAGAAATCATGGACCCCATTTCATCTTCTTGAGCCACAAAAGCATCCCATGATGCTTCTCCCCTTCGGGATAAGACACGTTCTCCACCAACGCCACCCAGGGAGGCAGCAGGAGGGATGAGGAACCAATCTGCATTTCCCAGGATGGATTTAGTGCTGCTCTAACTCTGGAGCTCATCACCCCTATTCCTGTCTCTGTCTTAGTCAGACTCTGGGGATGGCTCAGCCGTGGAGTGAATCCCTCAATCCCTCTGTGCCTCAGTTTCTTATCTGTACGTTAAGGGAGTATTTCTCGCCTCCCACCTGAAGTCTATTTAAATTCCTACACCAGAAGCTTTTTTCTTTTTTGCTTTTTTTTTTTCTGCTGGGCTCACAGTTGCAGAAAATAAGATGCTGAAATTTGGAAGAGGGAGGAAAATCCAAGCCTGGTTGGATCCAATCCTTGGTTTGCTCAGCCCTTGGCACAGGTGAAGAGCATCACTGGGAGTTCTGTAGGGGAAAACTGATGCCTCTTTAACAGGACATTTGGCACCAGGCACAGCAGGACCCCAAACCCTCTGACTGCTGCAGCCCAGCTGCTGAAGGCAGAACATCTTCAGAGAACAGTCATTGCTGCAAATAGAAGGGAGAAGTGAAAATTGAAACTGATCACCCAAAATAACCCAGGGTGGACAAGAGCTATTTTTCATGGTCTTTTTTTTTTTTCCCCACAAAGCTGTGGATTGAGCAAGAGCATCAACAAGTTTTGTGGGCAAAACAGATCAGCCAAGTGGCTTTAACTAAGAGCTAAATTCCACCCAACCTTTGGGAATCTGGGGGTTACAGACTCAGGGTAGAGTTAGATCTATTTCAATACCCTAAAAAAGGTGATTGGCTGGGTGGGATTATGATGGCTAAACAATGTCAATGCTAATTCAGCTGTAATGGGGATCACATTCCAAGGCCTCCACAATGACAGCAAACAGATACCTCCGGACGTCCTCCACAGCTCCTGTTGCACGCCATTATTTGATCATTAAGATCTAAGATTACATTGACAAAGCAATTTAACCACAAATCCCTGGGAACGGCAGGGCAGCGTTCTGTGGTCCACAGGAGTGGGAGATGACCTGAGCTTCTGTGAGGGGAG